GATGGCCCATTTCAAACAGTTGACAAGAAGGTGTGAGTAACAGTAGGGGGGAAATTAGCATGGGGAAATAGTTTTTTACTTTTTTTACCCACGAAAGCTTATGCCCAAATAAATCTGTTAGTCTTTAAGGTGCCACCAGACTCCTTGTTGTTTTTGTGGATACAGACTAACACGGCTACCCCCCGATACTGGACATTCTATTATTGCAGTTCACCAAGCTTGGAACAGATCAGTTAACTTTAGGAAACTGCCTAACAGCCCTTTCTTATCTTAATCACCTGTTAATTACTGTTTATAAATCAAAATTCTGACTCCCTGCCTCAGGGGTGCAAGGTGTTTCCTCTGCAGAACTCCTATATTGCAGTTGGGGGGGGGGGAACACCCTCCCTTGCCCCCCCACCCCAAACTCCGCCTATGAAGCCATATGCCCCAGGCAGTGAAAGCACCTGGTCTGTCTGCTGACAGGGAGCAGACATTGTGTCCCCGCGTCTCTCCCCTACCCTCCAAGCCCCCCAATCACTGACCTGCTTCTCTATTTTCACTTGGAGAACGTGGACTTCCTGGGGTTTCCCCACGGTGCTGCGGCTCACGCAGCCGTTCACAGCCTTCGCTGTCGTGTAAGACACCTTGTCCTTCGCAAGCTGCTGAAGGGTGCAAACATCAGCAGTCGTGGGACCTAGAGGGGAAGCAACTCAATGTCAGTCATCTCGCTGCAGTACGGAACAGTTACAGTGAGAAGGGAGGCTCAAGGGGGCTAGGAGAAGAGAGAAGGGCCTGGGACATCAGGAGGGGAGCAGGAGCACAGAGTGGCCAGGGAAGGGAAGGGGTCAGGGATGCAGGGGGGGAGCCCAGGAGAGGATACAGATCAAAGGGCAACGGAAGCATTAGCTAAGAAGCCTGGGTGGTGGGAAGGGAGAAGGCAGAAGGCTGTGGTGCATTGCCCTTATTGGAACAAGAGGTCCCTGGGAGCCCATCTCCTGCTCAGGACAGCAAGATGGGGCTCCAGGTTGGGGGCACAGGAAGGAGGTGCAGCAGGAGCTGAGAAGAGACTTGTGGGCAGAACGTGTCTGAGCACAGGGGGTTGGGAAGTATTGAGGAAGCACAGCTGTCAGTTATTAGATGCTGCCAGTGGGATACGGGCTAGGGGTTGTTGGGGGGGGGGGGCGCTTTCAGCTCCAGTTTCCAAGGGTTTACAACGTCAAGGTTAAACATTTGCTTTGGCAGAACACTTGGCTCTGAAGGGGCTGTTCTAGAGGCCGTAAATACAGGAAGGAAGCAAGGAAGGACAGAAGGACGGAATATCTTGAACCGTTCCTAGGTTACTGAAAAGGGCATTTCCTCAATCAGCTGTAACTGCGCTTTAAAAACGTAACCAAACAGGATTCTTCCTAGCGTTTTGGCTAAGAGGTGGGGGAAGCACCAGCTTACCATGAATACACCCTCTCTCTGGAGAACACATCCTGTCTTTGCAGCTGTATGGACTTGGTCAGGGAGGGCATTATTTGCAAGCCACTCTCCATCCATGGTGGAGCTCCACTGACTTTCATCAGGGTCTGTCAGGGCCAACTCTGAGACTAGCTCCAGGGAGAAGCAGCAGCAAAATCATTCAGACGCTAGAACTATGCTGATAGAGAGGAAAGTCCAAATTAAGGCTACGCTCCCGCCTTTCGCCCTGTGCCTGGGTAACGACAGACATCAAAAGTCAGCCCCAGGCACTGAACCCTGGATCCCCAGCACTAAACGTGTGAATTGCTACCACCTGAGCTGAAGGAGTAACTCCGTTAACTGGTACCTGCAGTACAGTCATATCCACTGTAAGCCAGCCACAGAGCGGGGCAGTGGGTTCCACCAGCGTAATGTAGGGCTCTCCAAATAATCTCATAAGCTACATATGCTGCTGTACTTTGTATTCCTGTAGCACCTAGAGGCCCCAATCCAATGTGGGCCCTATCGTGCTAGGCACTGTACAAGCATATAAAAAGAGATGGGCCTTGCCCTGAAGAGTTTACAATCCAAGTAGACAAGGGTGGTAGGGGAAACAGAGATGAAGTGACTTGCCCAAGGTTACCCAGCAGGTCTGTGGCAGAGTCAGGAACAAAGTCCAGGTCTCCTGTGTCCCAGCCCAATGCCTTATCCTAGAACCATAGGGTTAGAAGGGAGCAAAAGGGTCATTTAATCTAACCCCCAAAATATGACTGTGGTGGGACTTGAACCCACAACCTTTGAATAACTTTATCTGTCACTAAGCGAGAAGTCCAATGCACTATCCATTGCACCACAGAGCCTCTATAGCATAGACCTAGAGTGAGTTTCTCTGAGAAGTGTCCACTGACACCTTAGCTGCCTTTGAGGGACAGTGGGCGCTGTCCTGGGCTCTCTGCTCAACATCCCTCTTTGGTTCCCTGATTTTCAATCTCTGACCTCACTCCTGCTCCTATTTTTACATTTGTTGCCCTACATACCCACTTGTGGCCTGGGATTAGCGGTTCTTCCCCCTTAGCTATGGTGGGGGGCTTTCATTTTGGGTGGGCCTAGATCCACCTTTCCCAGATCCCACAAATAGCACATCACACTGCCTACTCAGTCACAAATCTTCCACCTTTAAACACCCCCATGCTTCAGGGGTTGAACTCCTGACACTTATTCAAAGTGAAATTTTCAGACCCATCCATACAAAACTGACCATGAATCAATCGTGAGATCTCAGCATGCCAGAGCACTGTGGGGGATCAGAGCTCATGCTTCAGGACATGAGCGGTCAATTCCCACCGAGGTCAGAAATCCCGGCCCTGCTCCCTCCCACCTAAACACACAGCATTTCGCAACAGGCCAAGTGCTCAATGTTGGGGCTTTTCAAAAATTCCTCTGAAGTGTCACATATTGGCCGCTGCCCAAGGAAGGAGATTGAACTTAATAAAGCTCTGATCCGGTATGGAAAATGCTATGTCCCTGCTGCAACCAAACACTTGACAAAATCATGCTATACCTTTCACAAACAACTGAGCACAAGAAGTCCCCCATGCCACGTACACCCCCCGGTCTGCAGCACAGCAAGAGGAAATCGGAAAGATCAGAAGCTGTTATTTAAGTCATCTAAAAACCGGGGCACGCAACATTTTACTGAGGGGACAATAACAACGTGCCATTTAAAAAAACAAAACAGAAATTCTAAGTTACTGGAATGCCTGTGGAATCCTTCTTGTAAGAGGCAAGTTAGAGGCCTGATCCTGCGAGCAGATCTTACTCCCGCTGACTGCAATGCAGCTGATTGGGGAATTGTCCCATTTAAAGGCAATGGGACTTCTGAAGCCAAAGGTGCTACTCGGCGTGAGTAAGGGCGATCAGAATATGCCCCTCTGGCTCTGTTTGGCAGAAGCTGAGACTAGACCTGGCCAAACTGCAGGAAAATAAAAACACAACAATGTCAAGGCATATAAATAAAATACGTATTTTTTGTGTGGCCTTTTTGCCCTGACCTTGGAAAAATTTCATCCTGCTAGAGCTGAGATCCTGGAGAAATGGGTGAGGATATGGCGAGACACCTCATCTCACACAGACCACCAGGCAACCTGAGCTGGATTCAGACCAGCAATGACCTAGAGGTATTTGGTTCCATACCCCTAGGGTGACCAGATGTCCCAATTTTATAGGGACAGTCCCGATTTTTGGGTCTTTTTCTTATATAGGCGCCTATTACCCCGCACCCCCGTCCTAATTTTTCACACTTGCTGTCTGGTCACCCTACATATCCCGCAGGAACAAGTCCCCAGCTCACGACACTTGCTGCTGCTGAAAGGCAGGCATTGTCCACCCTGCTCTGGATGAAGGGGGGACAGGGAATTACAGTAGGGGCTGGCTGGTTTCCCCTTTCTGCATCCTGAGGTTCTCATTGATATTAAGGAGGTGAGGTGCATATAGGGAGAGAACAGGCTCTGTGGATACAGAATGTTGAGAATGACAGGCAGGTTGACAACTCTCTGTCCGCCTGTGTGAATGGCCAAGGCAGGGAGGGACAGGAGCTGTCAGTGCTATGGTGGTGAGACCCCTTTCCTACAGGCAGCCAATGAAGACCAGGCAAAAGAAGAAAATATACTAATTAAAGTGTGTGTGTGTGTGTGTGTGTGAGAGAGAGAGAGAGAGATGGCTTTCACTGGAGGGATCAGAATTGTTCAGTTGTGTGTCAGAGGCCCTATACAGCTAACAGCTAATGGAGATTCTACTTTGGCACACAGGCCTGGACTATCAGAGCAAGATCTGATGTCTCTGCTGCTTCTGTTAAGTTCCTAGGTGGCCCTGGCATTCAGCACTGCAACAGCTGTGAAGCCTTAGGTGCCTACAGACGTTTACAACAGCATCCTTGTGTAACAAAGGATTCACTAGGGTGATGGTGGTGGTGAATTGTGACACACCATGAGCCCTTCCTTAAAGGGAGCTCAATATCCTTTGACAAATCTCCTGAGTCTGATACACAGAGGGAGGGAGACTGAGTCTGAAGCAGTGGGGGTGAATCGGGGTCCAACAGCTGGGCCTGGCTGCCCCCTCAGGGTAATGTTTTCTTTGGAGATGGCCAGCCACTGAAAGGATTTCCATCACTTCCCTCTGGGGACTGACGCTCACCAGTGGCTCCAGACAACTGCATGCAAGCAGAGGCGTCTGGAGGCAGCGGGGCTGGGCCGGATGCTAGGCCCGGATTGTCCAGACGCCCTGACGTTGAAGGAGGAGAAGGGTGGATGACTGGACGATGCTATCTACAGCTCCAGTGAGTGACAGGAAATGGAAGGCCCAAGGAATGGGAATGGAAATTTACACAGCTGTGTCGGCCATGCTGAATGAAAGGAGGCTGGAGAGCAGGAGAATGTGTGAGGTGGGGAAGGCGCAGGGAAGCTGCAAGGTCAGGGTGCTGGTCTTCTGTAAATGACAATCCCTTAATTTGCATCTCTCATGAACACACATTCCCCTTTACAGAAAGAACAGCAGTGTCCTGCTTCCCAGAATTCAAGCCTGCAGCAGGGAATGAGCTGTAGGAATGTAGGCCCGGCCGTGCTCCTCTCTGGCTGGCGCCCGGGAAACTCCGGCTGCTCCGAGACTCGGCTCTGCCCCTGGTTGTGCCCTGTCCTAGGCTGGGTGGGGACCAAGGTTGGGGTGCTGACCCCTGCTGCTTGCCCTGGGCAGGGAGGGGGGCCTGGCTGCTCCCTGCCATCAGGGGCTGGGCTGCTGGGGCCGCTCCTAGCCCCTAACTTCCTGCTGGGGGGCTTCGGGCTGCTGCTCCTGGGGATGGAGGGACAGGAGCCTTTGGCTTGCAGGATAGGGGCTCCAGGGAGCCTGGACTGGCTGCAGTAGGAGGGAAGCGTATTGGGAAGCCCTGGCCTAGGCTGACATCTGCAAAGCCACCGAGGGATTTGCACACACAGCTCCCACTAAAGCCAACTTCCATCCCAGACACTTCCCCAAGGCCGCAGTCTGGGACACGGCTGTGTGTAGCTTGTCCCATGTCAGTCACAGTCAGGCTGGGGGGACGGGGGAGAGAAGGAGTTGGGCTCAATGCAATGCATTCAGCGAGCAACACTCAGGCTACAGTGCCAGCCGGAGCCCCCGCTCGTGCGGTCCAGTCCCTTACAGTGTTAGTAATAGTAGTGAGCCCCGTGACAGCACTTCACAGCTTCCCCATTAGCCACC